CGAGAGGTGATGTTCTCCCTTCCTCATCTCTCTTGTTGATTCCTTCTTGCGACGTGGCTCTCTCATCTTTTTCTCCCCTCTACCTTCCTCTTGGTGCGCCTTCCCCTTGCTCTCTTCCTCCGCCTCTCTTCTCCCTGGCTCTTTCTTGCTTTAGGGATGGCCACACCCGGAGGAGGAGTGGCACGACGTGGCTTTGCCTTGCCCTTGTCGCTTCCTCGCTATCCCGCCAAACGTTCAGGATTCCAATGGGGAGGTGCGCGCATGTTCACACACGCGGTTGAGAACACGAATGTCCAAGGGCGGCTAAAAAATTGGTGGGCCCTGGTCTCGCAGGCGCGCGGTCGCTCTACCGTGCTGGGTGGCAAATTAGCACATGAGACTAGCACTTACCGAGCAGAGCTAGCGCTCGACCGAGCTTCAAGTACATTTTTCATGTACAAACACATTTTCAACACTATGAAAACCATGGTAACCCCGGACCCTGACACTGGACACTTCCGGACTGTCTTCCGGACCAGTGTCTGGACCGGTCCGGACTGTCTGGTGATCAGGACATCGCCGGACACCGGACAGTCTGGACCAGTCCACGGGGTGCAAAAATGTCCGGACCCGAAAGAAAAAAAAAAAAAAAAGCGTGGGGGGAGGTTGGGTGGGGGTGTTGGCAGGCACTTAGCTGCTTTGCACTCTGTAGTTCAGGCAGCAGAGCACGTGTCTTGCAGCAAATCAACCAGCACATTTAACTAGCAGACATGCAGAGTTGCAAACAGTGCAAAGCAGGCAAAAGACTAAAGAAACAGAGATTTTTTTTTTGAAAAAACTTCAAAAAAGTATAATTAACTTTGAACTTTGAACTTTGGATTTAGTAATTTAAAATCATTTAAGTTCATAACTTCATATATAACTTAAAATTCGAACTTTGCAGTTCAATTGAGAACGTCAGAGTCTTCAGACTGGCAACACTGTCAGTACTCTCTCTCAACACTGTCAGTACTCTCTCTCTCTCTCTCTCTCTCTCTCTCTCTCTCTCTCTCTCTCTCTCTCTCTCTCTCTCTCTCTCCAACGGGCGGCAGAGGCGGGCACCATGTCGAAACGGCCACTTTGAAATTGCTGGGGCCTGTGCGAAACCCGCCACCTCAAAAACCTGGAGTGTCTTGTGTCTGGACCTCTAGGCCATGTCCGGTGGGGTGAAAGGACACTTAAAAATCACCCTGTTCTTTTTCGAGGGGCGGCTAGAACACGACAAACGTCCTGGGCCGCCCGATTTCTTTTTTTGATTTTTGCCCCAGGGGCCTCCATCCGGACATGGGAACCAGACACCGGACACTGGACACCGGACTGTCTGGAACCCGGTCCGGACGTCCGGGCGGTTACCATGATGAAAACCTATCACTTGAAGCTTCCGATACAGCGCACCATATTTGCAAGATGTCACATTATTAAAAACTAACAAAATGTTTCAAGGGAGATGTTAAGAACGACGTTCCCGACTGCCGGATGACAATGAATGCAAATCAGAATTCCATGGCCATACCTGAAGTGGCCCTGCAGACCTATGAATCCCCCCCGGAGGCGGCCACGTGCGGCCGAGGTCGCGACCCCAAGACCATGAGAAAAAAAAAAAAAAAAAAAAAAAATCCTGGAAAAAAGAGCATTGGCCTCAGGAAAATTAGGTTTTGAATTTTTAAAATTCAAAGACAAAGTCAAAAAAAAAAAAAAAAAACGAAATTGCGCAATGTAGATCTCGAAAAGATCTACAACATCATTTTTTTTTTTCTTTCTTTTTTTCGAGAATTGTTTCGAGTCTCAAAACGTTCCTGAAAGTCACGGCCGCACCCAACTGCAGCCGCACCCAACAGCGGCGGCCATGATCACGGCTGCCCGCCGAGCTTGACCTCGCGGCCGCGGCCGCGGGTGAGACACAGCTGCAGGCCTTTTCTAAGCTCAAGATATAGACAAGGGAGCTTTGAAGAGGGAAACCGAGCAAAAGCCATGAGAATTCGGGGTACAGGTAAGATAAGATGACCACTCCCCCCGTGGAGAAGCATTCCAGATCACCGTCTCTGGGCGGTGAAGATGGGTTTCAAGCAATCTGAACTTCTGAAGCAAACGTGGCCGAAAAAGAGGCAGAGTTCCATGGTTCTCGAACACTCACTCTGGTCGGTAGCTCTACTTTGGAAAGGGAAGATCAGAGAGACAGGGGGGCTGAGAGGGGCAGTGCTGGGGACAACAAATAAGGGTTCGCTGCACCTGCGGGGATGGGCCCAAATCTGTGTGTTATCTTTGAATCTATTGATGCCACACCTTAAACAACCGGTACCTCGCTCAGCTATTGAATCCGAGCCTCCCAGCACGCTGCACGCCAAGTCCTGCCGAACCGCCGTCGCAATTTTCTTTTTTTCGTTTTGCCTGCGGCCTCCAGCCAATGCAGTCCGGCAGTCCGAAGCCCAAATGGCGCGGCGCGTATACAGGAAGCGCCGCGGCCGATAGCTGGGCCAGGTACTGGTGGTTTAAGAGGTCTGCACAGGCATACATGGGATTCAAAAGTTTAAACCACCAGTACACCCGGGCCTGGCGGCCTTCCACTCCGCCCGCAACAAGCTTTTCCTTTCCTAACTGCCAGCAGATCATTTCTTTTTCCCTTTCGGCTGGTGCTGCCGGCCATTGTCGTCAGGTAGACCGGAGGGGGTGAATTTTTTGAATGTAACGAACGATTTCTCCACAAGGCTGGGGCAGTGTATTGGAGGTTTAAAGGGGGCTTACAGGGGGGGGTGACGATTTAATTTTCCAATTCTGCATTACATAGTTTTTTTTTTTTTTTTTTTTTTTTTTTTTTTGGGGGGGGGGGGGGTTTTTTTGGGTTGTTTTTTTTTTTAATTTTTTTTTTTTAATGTTTTTTTTTTTTTTTTTTGGGGGGGGGGGGGAGTTTTTTTGGGGTAGATTATTTTGAAAATTTTACTTCGTTAAAGTTTGTTTACATTTTGTGATGGGGTTGCCCGGGACCTTACCCGAGCCTGGCTTGACTGGGCCGCCCAGACGGCCAAGTTTTCTAGCAGGCCTTCACAAGTAGTCTTTCCTTTGGCAAACTCGCGAGTCTTTACATCATCATTATTCATCAGGCTCCTCTACTACAGACTCGTTGCCATTCCCGAAAGATTTCTTTTTTTTTTTTCCCCCACCAACACCAGCCCCTTCTATTTTGGGGGGCATCAGTCCAGTTGCTTATCACCGACAAGCACCGTTTTTTATACAATTTGAAAAGTTAGGGGGGAGAACAGACAGAGAAGAGAGACAGCCTGCCCTTGTGGCTCGAGCCGCCTATTCAAGGGGGGGTTCCCACAGCGCCAACCCCTCCCGCCTTTTGGTCTTTCCTTGGAGATTTCCCTGCACATCAGGAAGCTTACTCGCAGCACCCAGACACACTGCAGGATAAGGTCCAAGGGGTCAATGCACAGGGGGGACGAGTGCCCTGCCAGCCCCTTTGTATTTATTTATTATTATTATTATTATTATTATTATTATTATTATTATTATTATTATATTATTTTACCCAACACAAAGCCCCTCGTTTCCGGAAGCTTTCATCCTCGTTAAGTTTTTTTTTTTTTTTTTTTTAACGCCCAGGTTGCTGTAGAGGCCAAGGACCAGACCCGCGATGATTGCTGGCAGCGGCAGCCAATAGTTGTCCTGACAGGATAGGTCACCTACCCTACCCATCCCCACATTAATACTCCCAGCGCACCCCCATCCCTACTATCCTACCTCAGTGTGAGTGTGACCAGCACTCAGGACCATCACCCTAGTACCCGTATCGAGGGCAACTTGGACCACACAGCAGTGACAAGCATCCTCGTCAATTTCAAGTCCTGCATTTAATTTAGCACAATAATTTTCTGTGTTTGTGAGCTATTCAGGAAAATTCAACTACCTTCTTCCCCCGACCGAATACAACGTACGGTCATTATAGCTGTATTGGGGGTATCTTTCAGTCTATATACAGCTATAATGACCGTACGTTGTATTCGGGGGAAGAAGGTAGTGGTTGGGCTAGTTGACATTGGATTGAACACAGATTTGAGGGCATAAGCAAAAAGCATTCGGTCATGTAGGCAGGTCTGGAGTGCCTTCAGCAGAAGGCGGTCCCATCATTCATGTGGGGACGAGATACGAGCCCATGAGGATGCACGCCATTTGCCACTTTGCCATGCCTGGGCTGTGCGAAACCTCTCTCTCAGAACCAGGCATGCATTCGCCTCTTCGAATGCCTGGGCTGTGCGAAACATCTCTCTCAGAACCATGTACTTCACGAGCGGACAAATGGGGCATGAGCGCATTTTTGAATCCACAGAAGGGCGCAGTAAACGTTTCACGACTGGTAATTTGGGGAGCAAACCATTCACAACAAGGCTCGCATCACCATATATCCCATCTTTCAAGGGCAAGCAGACACAGACCATTTGCTGTCTCTTATACACATCTAGATGTGTATAAGAGACAGACCCTGAATAGACGTAATAATGATAATGGTACA